GAGTAAAGAGCTATTTTTATATGGAGAAAGTTTGAGCATTAATCACAACGCCCGCTCAAGGCGGAATTGTGAAATCAAATTTATAATGAAACATTTTAAATTCAGCCAGCGGCTGCGGCGTAAGGAAGATCCAGTAGTGTAGCTCCCTACCCTCAGAAGGACACACACCAGCGTCTATCCTGACCGCGATCGAGGACGACGTTAGTCACTATAATCACCGGTCTGCAATCAGAACAGAAACAGAACCTAGTGTATCTACGGCTTGTAGCGTTCCACGCACAAGAGAAAATAGATCACCATAGATAAAGATAGGGTCTAACATGGCTGATGTCCAGCCCGGGTTGCGGCACGGTAAGCGCAATAATGCACTGCAGTCAGGGCCAGGGAGGATAAGAAACATTTTGAGTTAGTCAGGAAGAGTCTGACACTCCCTCTTCCCACCCAGCGAAAGACTAAGATAATTAATGACTTAAACTCTTAAAAAAGTATATGTTTCTACATACTGGTATATTCTTCATCTATCTAGATGTTCTAAGTATTAGCTGTAGGTAGACTAGTTCAGTAACCTGATAGTAAATTCACAGTTAACCTGACCCTAATACCGCTCGCTGTAAAAACTTAACGCAGTAACCCGAATACGTGTTAATGCTCGTATTTATTCCGCAAACTTTCAAACTCGTGCGGTTTCCAGGCAAAGACGTAACGTTAGTAGTGGTGATAGCAATCGCTCACGGTTTTTCATAGGCGTCCTAGTAAAATGCAAAGCAATCTCATTATAAACAGTGGTGTATTAAAGAATATATCTACGTGACCCGAAGAGAGGTGCAAAAATTTCATCTTTTTAAGAGACCTTTTAAGATCATTCTTGTACACAATGAAAAACCATTTTTATGATTAAAAAAGTGAAATATCATATTTTTGTTGTTATATCAAATTTCTAAAGTAAGCGATTATAATATTCGTTGCGTAATTTCTATTAACGAATTGCCTTGTAACATGAAATTAGATAGGAACCGCTTCAGGGAGCTTCGGAATAGGATTTAAGTGGCTTTCCAAAGCCGCAATTACGTCACCGGCCCAAAAATGTAATTAACACTCACACTATGGTCCTACAGAATACGAGCACAATAGATGTCCAAACGATCATGGACCCTTTGTCTAAGCGTATAAAACGCAATTCTCGATGGCTAACCATTTTCACATCAATCAAGGAACTTTTTTGCGTATAAGCCATCGATATTAAGCCGCGATGATTAATCTATATTTTGTCAAAAAATATCCACTAGCCATTATTCTGGTATTTCGAATATGTTCTCGTAATTTATTTTGTACGATAGACTGTAATTTTTTAAGGCTAAACTAGCGCTTGCAAATTGTTACGTTTTGTAGCTAAGTGAACTGTGAGCCGTGTAGTTAACTCGACCTCTTTTTGTGTGAACATTCGTATTCTAATCTCGTATAACGTTTTCGACAAAAACACATTTGGTTGTCTATTGAGTGAAAGGCCTTTGCATTTTGACTGTATACCACCTACACACAGATTTAAGCTCCAGGTAGAAGTTAATTATGAAAATTCGAGATTGCGAGTCCATTTTCTGTTTGTTCCACGACGATTATCATTAAAATCCTATTTATTTTACATAAAAATAATATGGCTACAGAAAATAATTCTGATCAGTAACTATCGCGTGGTTACTCACGTGAATCATTGTCAAAAGGTCTTCTAGTTTTAAGTATCAGTGCAAGTATTTTTATAAATTCTGGTCATTTGATATTTCTTTTACCAATACTTAAAGTTAATTTTTTGAAAATATTATGCGACGATACTAATAGTATCGTATGAAACAACGAAACAATTGAAAACATGAAAACCTTTGCAAAATCCCCTAAACAGCCAAGTTAATGACTCTCCACATCATCAATCTCCATTGCTACCAGAGTGATTGTCTTTTAAATATCCCTAATCTATCACTGGCCTCTTACTTTCTTCCGATAAATCACGGCTTAACACCAGTGAACTTTGCTGAACTCATAAAACCCGCTGCAGTACACAATCTGTTTAGTTGTGGGCTAATCTGCAAACATAGCCTTTGCATATATTTTTTAATGTACTATATAGTAGAATAATCGTGAACTAGGAAATTGGGTCACTAAACGCCTCGTAGACACTGCCTTAGTCTGCCTTATTTCCAACACATAATCACACCAGACCTTTAACTGTCACAAATACGTTTATTGATACCGTTCCTCATCTTGCTTTTATACTTAGCTTCAAAGGAAATCATAAACATACAATTTGTAGTCTATAAAATCTGTCATTCTGTCCTTTGATGTTGAAAAGAAAATAAATCCCTATGAAAGTATAAGTAGGCTTATTCAGTATATAAATAAACGTTTCTTTTTACAGGTAAACCCAGATGAGAACAGACTGGCTGTCGTGTCACACACATCGCCGTGTAAGTGTATTTTATTTCCCACAATACATCAATCACACTTGACATATTTTTCGTAAATCTGCGTTGGCTTCGGAGGCGATAGGTTGATTTTCTTTCGTTTTATATTTACTTCATATACAGTTATTTGAAAAATGTATTTCTTTGTTACGTTCCATCTATTTTGTTTTTTAGTTCGTTTTCAAATATACATATATTAGTTCTTTTTTGAAATTTCACTATATGTATAGATCCGTTGCTAGAGTGACGTTCTTAAATTTATAGTTTGAATTTTTGTTTGACGTTTGTTTAACAAAACTTTTTTATATGGTGTTTTTTGACAAAAATATTGATAGGGTGTTGTTTTTTAAATGAATATTGTAATAATAATGTCTAATATCATAGTGATTAGTTTTGAAGGAATTAATAAATGAATAACGAGAGAAAATCAATAAAATAAAATGAAAATTGACATTGTACAATTGCATTGAGATTCTATTTTTTCTAATGGAAGTCTTGGTTCATTAATGGAAGCTTCGAACTTCAAGTAGGTACTCTCACCAATTTTTGTAAAAAAAGACAACACTTGTTTACTGAAAACCCATATTGTACCTACCAGTAATGTTAATAGTCCAAATACTATAGAAGGCGACCTTTTGGGTAAACACTGGATAGAATGAGGGCTAATCACCTGATCTCACTAATTTACGACGAGGAGAATCTGTCCATCACTAAACAAAACATTAATTTCGATTGCAAATAGATAATTTCAGTGAGGTTCATATCAACGTCATCTAGTGACTAAAGAAACAATATCTATCACTCAAACCCGTTATAAAAAATTGTAAAATTGAAAAGCCTCAGTAATGTTTCATATGATCCTTTGATCGAACCTAACAATAATGATTGAATTATTGGACCTAATAAGCAATATTATGATATGGATATAAATAAAACCTGCCATGGCAACAACGTGCTTCCGAAGCTTAATTAGACAGTTACTGTATTTAATCCTTCAAGCGTAATTTTATGTGTATAAAATTATGGTATGCTTCGCGGCAGACTGTAACGTTGTACTCTCGTTTAATGAATGTAAGTAGATCAAAATTTAGATAATGAAACATTAATCCTCATTGTGTAACCTCATTGTTTTGCTTTGTTGAATATACTAACTTTTCAGCACGTTTCTCACTAACCAATAATGACCTAACTTTTTCCTATTTAGTTTTCATTGGCGATAAAGGAGAGAAAGGAGATAATGTAAGTACTTGTTGTAACGATAGTAGTAAAAATATACTGTAGTAGTCTTAATAAACTAAGGAGGCTCCTCAAGGTCAATCACCTTTACATTTTAGGACACTGTGAATATTTTAAACGGTCTACTTTAGCTATCTGGCATGTTATGATATAAAAACTTATAAACATTTTTCTTGGGAAGTCGTTGTATGAAACTACAATCCATCACGTTTCCTAACAAAATAAAAATACCAAAAACAAAACAAGCCAACGAATTAAGTACTCACTTGAAAGGCGAAACAAACATTTTTATTCCGGACAATCCGAAGACTTTCGGAGTTTTTCGTACAAGTCTTACTAAACTTGGCGAAGATTTCATTAATCCGAAGGATCTCTGTCACCCTACCTTCTTCAACTTTTACGAAAGTTATAACTCAGGTCACGTACCTCGTTACATCGATATGTAGTAAAATTCGCGTGTTTTGCACAATCGTGAACAGAAATTGTTAGTAGAATTGGCTCAATAAACAGGAAAGATGCTATTTAGCATTACAACAAACTGTGATGTTTAAACGGGGTTTGTATTCCTGCAGACAGCATGAATGATGTACCTTTCCGGCAAAGGAGCAGGACTTTATTCCATTTAAGCGTATTGTTGAATATTTTGAATGATAAAAACGAGAATACTAAAAGGTGCTTTCAGAATACGTAATTTCGACAGCCCGTCCCATTTGATATGCTATAGCAATTCTATTAGGTTAACCCTTAACTGACGAAGAACATCGGAAAAAAGGTCTCAGATACATATATCAAAGGTCTCAAACATTCCTTTTAAATCACAAAACAATTTTTGGAGACTTCATAAAAGTTTTGCCATTAGGTAAATACTTGTGGAATTGAGGACAGTTAAAGAGATACCTACTGACAAAGAAGTTAAAGGATGGCGACAGTAAAATGAAGTCGTCAACTGGCTAGACCTTTAAAGACTTTGTTTAAATAAAACTTATTCTGGAAAAGTATAATAAATACCACTGACCTAGTTGTTGACACGCACTGACGATCATTACCGCGCGTTTTTATTAAGGATGGTTAACAGACCCACTATTCAAATCGAGCGTTAACGCGCTTATTATTGGACGGTTATAAAAGGTTCTATTGGCGCGTTACAACAGCTTTATTGATGAAAATACCCACTATTTATTTTCTTTATTAAGTTCTATCATATGTACCACAATCTTATTTAGGAAAGATTTAGATGTGAAGTGTTTTCTCAAAATTAAATAATAAATATTGTTAACTTTAGAATTTAAAATATTTGTTTGCTTTTACCAGACATTGGGGCCAGGACAATGCAGATGTAGTTTGAATGACATCTCTCAGATTTTGGAAGTGATGCCAGAACTAAAAGGACCACCAGGCCCACAAGGACCTACAGGAGCTGATGGCACTACTGGTGCTCCTGGAAAAACGGTGAGAATGTATACAACTTTAACCTTATTACTAATATATCATGACTCGTAAACACCATAATAAAGGATAATTTTTAAGTTTTCACTGTTACAAAAATAAGAGATGTTCTTTTTTCAAACATTGATTGCCAATTTATGTAGATATAAAATAAGTTTGTTTTGATTGTTAACTCACCCAACAATTACTTCATGATATTTTTCTACTGTGTTGTCTTTAGAGGTGTGCATAAAAAACCAAAGTAATTGCAAATGCCTTGCACTAAAACATGAGCTACAGGTGAAGGATTTTAATAAAAATATTTATCTTCAGTACACTAACATAGCTACAACTGCAACTATTTTCATATTAACAAATTGCTATCTACGTGTAAAGTAGGTAAATAGTAACTATGGGAGTATAGATGTAGTAAAATTGTATGCAAAGACTGGTTACTTCACTCTCGGAGCTATTTATTGGCTGACATTAACGTTCGAGATTATCAAGGGAAATCTAGCTCTCTAAGACGTCTTGGGATCTTTGTGCATTAAAATATGAGGTTAATAAAAGATATGATTACACTCAAGGCGCAGAATTATAAGGCAGTGAGCTTAGCAAAAGCGGCAGCGGATTTTATGATTCAGTAGTTCATAAAATTGTAAAAGGACAAGTTAAGAAGTAATCTAAATGAACTTGCCTTTTGTCAATTATAATAAAAATAAGATGATCGAAATGTTGAATCAAATCATTTCACTTTCTTTGAAATCAATCAATGCGATTATTTGTACTTGATATCCTTTATATGAATAAACATTTTATAAGGGTAAAAAAGAAGAGCAGCATTTTAAATGTTGTTTTTATTTGTCGTAATATAATTAGGATAGTTCATAAACATCACAACCAAAAATCATTAGTTAAAAGACAAAATAAAAGTAACAGATTGTAATAATTTCAATAGAAAATATAAATGGTTACTAACGTTTTTCATAAAGATGGACGGTATTGTCATGTTAAACAATATTAATAATATAGATTTTCATGACTCTCATTTTAGTAACATATTTTTATTTGGCAACAGATGATACACAGAAGAGTCAAAATGAGAGTCATAATTTGTGAGCGTGTCCCCTATATGAATGTGTGAGGCTTATATTTTAATCTACTAAATCAATTACACTAAACTGAGTTTAGGATGAAAATATTTTTTCTCAGCGGTACGCTTTTCACGTATTTTTTATATTAATTTTGTTCATATATGTTCTGTGATACAAATGATCTTGTCTTCACCGACAAAATTGGACCTAAAATGCACCCTTGGGTAATGCCATTTAAGACAACCAAATAACAATTGAAAATTTGTAATGCGGATTTAAAAATTTATGTTCTAATTTTTCTGGTCGATTTACTATTCGATAATTCTAGAAATAAAAACTTAAAATAAAGAATTTAGTTAACTGCATCTAACGGGATTTATAGATTTCTACAATTGAATACTTATTTACCCTAGTTTAACAACTGATATGAAATATTACACTGCCGCCTTTTGCAATTCCTTTAGCTTCACGTAAACTTTAATTATCTTAGTCTCGACGATAACGAATGTAATCATCACACAAATATTACGCATGTAATTAAGACTCAGTAATATGTTGCCGTTAATGATGTAAACTACTATTTCAGCAAAATTAATAAGTCCGTTGCCTTCAGAGATTTAGTAGGATCAGATGATGGTGAATTTAGTAAAATATTAATATTGGAGTAATAATATTTGATAAAACTTTTCTGTATTATTTTAAATTATATCGGACTTTGAGAGCTTTATTACATAAAACCCAGGTAAGATTGAAAAACTCATTTAATTACCTAACAAATCGGCATTAATTTGTCTCGAATATCTTTATCAGACCTCGCAGTTTTTCAGTGCCTTACAACAAATTGTAGTGATTTATAAACATGACATCATTATCTGATCCTCATTAATTAAATTCTAACTTAGTTTTCACGAAATTCACTACCTTATCGTCTCAGGGACAAATGGGTGAGCCGGGGCCGCCTGGGCCTGTGGGGCCAAAAGGAGATAGAGGAGAGAGGGGCGAGAGTGGTGCACCAGGCCCTGAAGGCCAAACAGGGCCTAAGGGCGATCCTGGTTCAGATGGGGCACCCGGGCTACAGGGACCTCCAGGGCCGCCGGGTCCGCCTGCGCCAATAACATCAGCATTGATAGTAAGTACAATTTTATAACATTGCAATTATATACACATTACAATAGGCTAAAAAAGATTGACTCTGACATTATTACTACACGATTTAATTTTTTTAATGATAAACTTACCCAGATTTAAATAAGTTAGGTCATTTAATAAAATAACCGCATCGCGTATTTTGCTTTACGTCTTTTAATGTTTACTTTCCAGAAAATTTTATTGGAAAAGGGTTGTTTATATTTCGCCAAAAGATTAATTACATCATTATCTGAATAAATTTTCTTCGCTCAGATGGATTTTTTCTTGTTACCAAGCTAATACCTTCTGTGATCTTGCTTTAAATTACAACAAGGTTTAAAGCCATAATTATTAAATTTTATTAAACAGGATATTACGAATTAGAAATCTTAAGTTTTGTATTCAAGTATCATGAATAGTGGATAAAATAAAAATTTTAAAGACCGTCCGTATGTATTGTATTAAAGTTGACTGTAGTATTTCTCAGAGCTAATGCATAATATTTTTACTTAAGTCAGTTATATCTATAGATCGGATGCAAATCCATTTGTAGAATTCATATATTATTAAGTATGCGTTTCTCCCGAGATCTTACCAAGAATTTTGTTATTGGAAAATTGCGTCAATACAACTCTCCTTGTATTTTCTGAGAGAATAAGCAAAAGTAAAAACACCTGTTTAAGACTTGTTTTTCACCCAGTAATTATAAGGTGATTCTATCTTAATAATATGTCAGGAACGGTTTCTGAACCGTTGCTGCAAATTTGTTCTTTTCTTTTACTTTAATATTTACTTAGTTATACAAAAATTATATCCTTACTTTAATATTTCCTTTCTCAAGGACCTTATACAGAAATAATTCCCAACAAAGTCACGAGGAAAAGCTAGCTAGAACAAATCAAATTATCACAATCAATTACTTAGCATTAAATTCAAAGGTTTCATTCTATTTATCTAGAACTAAATAGGTATAAATGGCTGCAGCAAACTATCCACGCTCTAACAGAGTTGCGTGTTGAATGTGGGTAGAGTTTACCCATAGAAATTAGTTCAAACTGACCTCTTGCTTTTAACTCGTATTCCTTCGTCTTACATTTTCTTTATAGTAAAGTGTTTCTTGTTTCAAGCGTAAGGAACGTTGTTTTTTATTAAAGTGAATGGTTGAAGAAAGGCGTGTTGAGCTCGCTAATTTACTTGTAGTAAAGGTTTGCGATGGTGCGGTACTTCAAGATAGATTTATTTTTTTACCTCACGAGTTGTGCAACGTTCATAACATTTGCTTCGGTCATGTGTTATGACTTTTTTGCTTACGATTAACGTTACCCAACACATCCGTTTTTGTGTGTTCGAATTTGAAATTTTTGTAAGAAAAATCTAAAAATGTTTTTATATTTTTAAGTTATTGACTTCAAATTCATTGCATTATTTTGACTTTACAATACAAATAATTCTTTAAATAATATATTATTATAATCATACGTTGATTTGACGATACAAGTATATAATTTTAGGTTTATTTAGATCATTTTACATAAATAAGTAGTAATGTAGGACCGACTGTACCGACTCTCTAAAATGAGGGAAAGAAAGACGAGGGATGTTTGCCAGATAAGATGTGTAAGAGATGAAAGTGGAATGGTTCTATCGGATAACGACAAAATCAAAGAGAGGTGGAAGGAATATTTTGAAAGACTTATGAATGAGGAAAATAATTGGAGTGGGGTTTTAGAGAATAAACCAGTGAATGTGGGCTTAGTGAGAATAGTTAGTGTGGAGGAAGTCAGAGTAGCAGTGAACGGAATGAAAAATGGTAAAGCCATTGGCCCAGATGGAATACCAGTTATTAAGAGTAGATGGATGGGTGTGGTTGGCTTTGTTCTTCAATAAATTGTTGCAGGAAGAAACCATACCTGATGAATGGTGCAACAGTTCTTTGGTGCCCATCTTTAAAAACAAAGGTGATGTCCTTGAGTGCAACAATTATAGAGGAATAAAGCTAATGTCGCATAACATGAAAGTATGGGAGAAAGTTATTGAACGGCGGCTGAGAGAAGAGAGTGACATTTCACAGAACCAATTCGGTTTTATGCCTGGTCGTAGTACAACGGATGCCATATTTGCTATACGCCAGTTGTGCGAAAAATACAGAGGTGCACATAAAAACTTGCACATGGTATTCGTTGACCTCGAAAAGGCATACGACCGGGTACCTCGTGAGGTTCTGTGGTGGGCCCTTAAGGAGAAAGGTGTGCCTGGGAAGTATGTGCAGTTGATCCGATCAATGTATAGTCGCTGCAGTACACAAGTCCGGTCTGCAGCGGGCACCACTAGCAAGTTCAATGTGGCTGTCGGTTTACACCAAGGGTCAGCTCTCAGCCCTTACCTCTTCCTGATAATAATGGACGCTCTGACGTCGGACATTCAGGAAGAGGCTCCCTGGTGTATGCTGTTTGCCGATGATATTGTGCTGGTTGCCGAGAGTGCCCTAGAGATCCAGAGCAGATTGGAGGTGTGGTGGCATAGACTGGAGAGTGTTGGCCTAAAATTGAGCAGAACTAAAACAGAGTACTTGTTCTGCGATTTTGGCGGTCTCTCTAGTTCTGTGCCCATAGCTCTCGCCGGAACGCCCATACCAACCTGTTCTGATTTTCGGTACCTTGGCTCGCTTATCCAAGGAAATGGTGAGATAGACCGAGACGTGGCCCATCGGATCAACTCAGGATGGATGAAATGGCGACAGGTCACTGGAACAACTTGCGACCCACGGATGCCCCTCAGGTTGAAGGGTAAAATCTACAAGTCAGTGATAAGGCCTGTCCTACTGTATGGGTCAGAATGTTGGGCTCTGAAAAAGACGGATGAAAAGCGATTGCATGTAGCAGAGATGAGAATGCTGAGATGGATGTGTGGTGTGACGAGAATGGATAAAGTGAGAAATGAGTATATTAGAGGAAGTTTGAAAGTGGCGCCAGTGACTGAAAAGTTGAAGGGGGGGAACCGTTTGTCTTGGTATGGCCATGTGAAAAGGAGGGATGAAAAGCATGTAACAAAAAGAGTCATGAGTATAAATGTGGATGGATGGAGAGGGAGGGGGAGACCAAAGAAAATATGGATGGATTGTGTGAGAAGTGATATGGAAGACAGAGGAGTTAGCGATAGCGTGACGAGTGACAGGACAGAATGGAAGAAAAAAACATATTGCGCCGACCCCAAATAAAACGGGACAAGGGCAGGAAGATGATGATGATGAAGTAGTAATGTAGGACGAAAAACCATTATGACATTGAAACGATTCATAGAAAACGATAAATTGGGACGTTTATGTCATTTGACTATTTTAAAAAATAACACAAAATATTGCTTTATGTTATTTCGGAGTCATAACAAAATGATAATCTATATAATTATTTGAAAATAAATATCAACGAAGTATTACAGTTTCACCCCTATCTGCTTATTAAAACAACAAAATAAGGTCCAAAATTGTATGTACATATGTTATTTTATGAAGTTAAGTTAGCCATTTATCAGGGTTTCAATACATCAACTTGAATTTCTGATATGTAATTACAATCTCTCGTTGCTTTGATAAATTATTGTTGTTTTAGTTCAAGATTCATGTAAATTGATATGGTTGGATTGTATGTTTAATGTAAGTTAGTTGCCATTAGTGCAGGTTTTGTATTAAATACGATTAAAGAATCCATTAGGATGTAGGTTGGGAACCTGGCAAATACCAATGTGATTTTTTCTGATCTTAATATTTTCATATCACTAAAATGGCAAAGAAATCGTCGTGAGGAGAACTGGACTTTTTATTTATAATGAAGTAGATGTCAAATCGCTCATTCGCGGTAACAGGCGTGGTTATTATTGCTCAAATCAACGATTGAGAAGATGCATGTGCTCGGTAGTGGAACATTTATAGGCTGGTCAGTGATGATAATGAATTATAATGAAAGTTTCGAATAACTATTTTTTTTAAATACACAATTGAACATTTTTCGTAATATTTTTTGCGTGTTATGATCATTAATAAGGTGTGAGTTTTGATGGCATTGAATGGCAAACGGCATACTTAATTATGATGCTAAGTAATTAACGCCGCCAAGAACATTCGCAACATTGGAGGAATTACTAACAGTTACAAAAGCGATATACCTAGTTTAATAACAAAAAACAAATTTCTTTTCTGTATTTCTAATAGAAACAAACTCGTATAATCTAGGTACACAACTATCATTGTATTACAGTTTAATTACCTAGTAATTATTTTCAATAATCAACGCTAAGTATTAATAGTATTATTGTACTATAAAGAACTAAGCTTAGAAACAAACGACTATCTTCACAACAATGAATTAAAGCTGAAAAGCAAAACAATACTCACCCTTTAAGAACGTTACCGCTTCCAAACAGGTCATCGACCTTCGCTTACATCACATTGCTCTGTAAACTTAAACCACAAGAATTACGCAACAGACACTATTATTCGTTCTTGCAACTTTTGTATACGTTTCTAATCACCATGTCTTACGCAGGAATCAACAGGATTATACGGGTCGAGTAATCCAGGGATACTTGGGGAGAGGGGTCCAATGGGTCTACCGGGTCCTCAAGGAGAAAGAGGATATCAAGGGAATAAGGGCGAGAGAGGATTACATGGCCCTAAGGGTGACAAAGGAGAAAGGGTAAGTGTTATCTGAATATGATATCGTTATGTGAACTAAAATATTATTTATACTTCACGATTCTGCACAAATACTATCATTGGTATAGTTTCGAAAGAGTTTCTTTTCTATATTTATAACATAATAAAATATACAATATTATTCATAATATTAATAAAAGAGAAGGTTATAATCATATTATTACAAATTAATTTAATTTGCGTTTAAATTAAATCGAATAAATGTAATAGATTTTTTTAAATGTGATTATTTTATCAATTAATCATATAATTGAAAAATAAATATCAATTTACATTGCATAATAATATTGTTGTAATTAAATGTATACATGAATTTATTCTAGTATCACTCATTAAACTTTAAAATATGCTTGTTCGATATTTAATTATTTGATAACAAAATGTTGAAGTTTTTATACAATTATACGATACGATTAGTCGGTAAGGTACAGTAACCTTTATTGTATGAAGAACTGTTTTAGGTGATACATAGAATTTGGGTGCAAATACAGAATAGATATTAATAATCGGATTATTGGATTAGGACGGCTTATTGATTCTGATGAATCAATTATGCAGTATAAGGGTACATTACTTAGGCATACTTAGGCTCCCTCAGTATATACTTTGAAATGATTAATAAACTAAACCCAATAAACAAACAAAATTAGGAACACACGCAGACGAACTACGTCCGCAGTTCATTTCACTGCCTCTACGTTATCATGAAAATAGGTTATTAGACTAGCTAAACTTCCCCCGACCATCCATCAAAACTTCTGCGGTTTACACAAAACTCTGTATACCCGAATAAGTCTGATATTTATGTCAAACTGAAACCACCTGAGCTCGCCGAGTTACTAAAACGTAACAGAAAATTTCCACTCCGTTACCTGTTACTCGAACAATATTGTTCTGCTTTCCGTGTTCACCAAATATTGTGTGTATTATATACAACAAGCCTTATAGTTTCTACTTCCTCAATATTAATTTAGTAGAAGCCTGATTTACGTCATGTTACTAAAGAGAACAGCTCGGAAACACCCATAGAACTTTATGAGAGAAACTAAATCAAAATAAAATCACGCGGACCCCGTCGCCAAATTAGTACGTATTCGGATAATAAACTTGGGACTAACGCAATAAGTGACGGTTTGACCCTCGTAACGCCATGTTATGTTACCTTCGACCCCTAAGCTCATAACTGCGTTACAGGGCTACGTTGGCCTGAGAGGGCCACATGGCGCGAAGGGAGAGCGAGGCCAACCCGGGCGCGATGGCACGCCGGGCCTGCCGGGCCCTCACGGGCGCCCCGCCGAAAAAGGCGAAAAAGGTACAAACTAACTCAACCATCAAATTTTATGTTACTCTATGACCCATATTTATACGCGGGTAAAGCGTTCACGAGATTTTTAGGGGTTTATAGTAACGATTTGGAAAATCTTTATTTCTTCGCGCAGTGAACCCTTTGGATTGGTTTTCGAGTGCTTGCACGCAGTTTATTTATTATTGTTGTTACTTTTTACGATCGTCTTGAGAGTTTTTGTTTTATTTCTTTATCGAATGTTTTGGGGGTAGTGTGGGTAGTTATTATTTTTTTGGTTTCTACGTAAAGTTAACATATTGAAATAAATGTTTACGAAATTGGACAGGTGTGTTTTATGATGTCCATTTGTATAATCCGAACATCTTGAAGTGGTTTATCGTGAAAACGTTTATTTTAGGTATATTCTTGACTTTTTTTCGTCTCTAAAGATACCTTTTTGGCTAACATTAACTTGTGTCTAATATTTAATGTAAATGTAGGTGCTCGCGGTCTCCCCGGCCCCCCAGGACCCGCCGTCCCAGTTATATCTGAAAACGCTATATCAACTGACGTCACGCGCACAGGTAAGTCATATTTCAACCCAATTTTGTATTTTCTATGTAATATCTAGATAGCATCCGTTGAAATTTCCTTAAAATTGGTTATGTGACAGAAAACTCTTTGACATCATGACGTCAATGGATGGTTGTCAAACGTTGCCTAGAGATTGTAAATTTCGTCGTGAATTGTCAACACGAGTTGGTGTAATCGGTAAGGCGTGTGGATTACACCACAGAGACCCCGAGTTCGAGTCCCGCCGTAAACATGAAGTTTTTTTAGTTGATGGAAATTTTGTCGAACTTTCTGGAATATTTGAGTGAAAGTAATGAAAAATTAAAGAGCGAGAAGGAGAATAAATAAAAATGAATAACGAAATTATTGGAAGGTTCTGGAGGCATGACGATCAAAAAGAATAACGAAATTGAATGTTCTAGAACCTGACCGGGGGTATATAAGCGGAACTGCGGCTCACCGCTGGCAGTTGAGTTCTAAGTCCAAAGCGATTCGGAAGAAAAGGAAGTACAGTGAAATAGTGAAGTGCAGTCAGTTAAGTGAGTTAAGTCAGCGTGAACAGTGAACGGCAAAGTTGTGTCAGTCGGCCGGACTCTGCTGGAGAGGAACGCCGATAACTTATCCGTATCCGTGGACGCTGTCACTTAAGTGCAATAGAAAGTCTGAAAACCGGTATTAGTGTTTAATTTCATCCAATCCCGTAACCCAAGCCCGCATAGTTAGGAACGTGACGTCAGGCACGTAACATTTGGTGTCAGAAGTGGGATTGGAGAAAAATGCCGCTAGTGCCGCAGGACGTAAGAGGAGTGAGTACCCGTGCTATGTCAGAAGCGCAGCGTGTGAGGGAAGAGGGTGCTGCAGCTCAGACCAGCGATGCAGAAGCCAAGCCTGTGCAGATGGATCTTCTGCTACAGCTGCGGCAAATGATGGCAGAACAGCTGCGTGAGCTGAAAGAAGATCAAGCGCGCCGCCAAGAAGAGCAAGCACGCTGTCAGGCAGAACAGCTGCGGGAGCTGAAAGAAGATCAAGCGCGCCGCCAAGAAGAGCAAGCGCGCCGCCAAGAAGAGCAAGCGCGCCGCCAAGAAGAGCAAGCACGCTGTCAGTCAGAACAGCTGCGGGAGCTGAAAGAAGATCAAGCTCGTCGCCAAGAGGAGCAAGCGCGTCGCTTGGAAGACATGCATAAAGATTTCACGAAGGGACTGCAAAAGGCTGTCGAACGGGTACAAGAAGTGGAGGAAGGTTTAGGCAAGTTGGAACATCGCGTCATGGCGATAGAGGAGAGAGTGGAAGAAGAGATCTCCAAAATCAAGCAGGAAATGACAAGCCCAAGCCCTTTGAAGAGCCGAAGCCGTCTTGCAGCCGTTTTTGACGCCCCAAATGCGGCCTCAAGCGCAACGAAAGGGCTGAAGATTCCCCATTACGACGGAACAACATCCTGGACCGCGTTCAAGCTACAGTTTGAGACACTTATGGAGGCTTATGGTTGGACTCAGAAGGAAGCACAGTCAGCCCTCACCCTGGCCCTCCGTGATCAAGCGCTCTCAGTGCTGGAAGCTATCGGCGCAAGTGGGGACCTCAGCTTTAGTACCCTCCTCGACGCACTTGAGGCACGTTTTGGAGACAGCCACCTCGAGCACGTGTACAGAGCGCAATTAAAAGAGCGTACTCAGCGTGCTAATGAGAGTCTACAGCAATGGTCCGTGGAAATCGAGAAACTTGTGCGTCGAGCTTTTCGGTCGACTCCATCAATGATTGAAGGCACGCTTCTCCAAGCATTCATTGACGGTGTTCGGGACCCCGAAGTACGAGCTGCTGTTCATCTGGGCCATCACAAGAACATGAAAGAAGCTCTGGCCCATGCATTGGAAGTGGAAGCCGTGCGTGGTAACTCCCGTACCTTACGTCTGCGGGAAACGACGACAACGGAGCAGGTACCTCCACGCCGTCGGAACTTCATGTGCTATGGATGCGGAGAGCGTGGGCACATGCGGAGCGACTGCCCGAAGAAGGTGAACCGCCAGGACGCAGCGGTCTCAACTTCTGACCAGCAGGGAAACTAAATCCAGCCAGGGCTGCGGGGTGGGCGCTGGCCGGTAGTGGAATAACCCCAACAATCTACATCAAGCAAACTAACGATGGAAATACTCTGGTGATAGACGGTCAAGTAAATGGGAAAAACAGTCAGCTAACATTAGATACTGGAGCTTCAAGGACGGTGATAAATGTTCGGCTGCTCGGGCAAAACATCAGGAAACACGTTAAACCAATTGTTGGCCTACGAATGAAATCAGCTACCGGCCAGTGCATACCGATAAGTGGAAAACTGCATGTAACAATCAAAATTGGGGAACGTGTTTATCGACATGAGGTTATTGTGGCCAAAATTCTGGATGACTGCATCCTGGGACTTGACTTCCTGCAAGGGCACCAGTGTAACATCGACTTAAAATCTGGAGTATTACTATGTGGAACTGAGGAAATTCCGATCAAGGGTGGAACCCTGGGAAAAGTTTGCTGTTTAAGAAGAACTGTTCTTGAACCAAAATCACAGACTCTCGTACCAATCGCATTACCTAGGAGGAGGGAAGGAAGTTTACCTCTAAGGTGCGCTGTGATTGATAAATCGGAACACGTAAACTCATGGCTACCGGCGAGAACTGTCGTGGGGTCATCTGATGTCAACCGCATTCCGGTATTCAACTTCAGTGATTCAAAAATTACGATTGAAGAAGGAGAGCCTGTGGGCGTATTGGAAGAAGTGGCCTGGATAAGAAAATGCTCGGAGAATCTTGTGAAGAAGGACAGTACGGGAATGGACTTTGTAACGAAAATCTTAGACGAAAACAAAAGTCTGACAAAAGTGGAGACTATGAAAGCTAGAAATTTACTTCTTCGATTCTCTGATGTGTTTTCAAGAAGCGATGGTGATATTGGCCGAACTGGTTTGGTGAAACATAAAATAAACACAGGTGATACAATGCCAATTCGTCAAAGGCCCAGACGCATACCATTCGCTCGTGAGAAAGAGGTTGAAGAAATGATTGACGATATGAGGAAAAATGACGTGATAGAGCCCTCTTCTAGCCCTTGGTGTTCACCTGTCGTGCTTGTCAAGAAGAAAGATGGTTCAACGAGGTTTTGCGTAGACTATCGACGATTGAATGATGTAACCAAGAAGGATAGCTACCCGTTACCAAGAATCGATGACACACTTGACACACTGAGTGGCATGAAATGGTTTTCAACGCTCGATCTGAAAAGCGGCTATTGGCAGGTGGATTTGGATCCCAAGGACAAGGAAAAGACCGCATTCTCAACTGGGAAGGGACTCTGGCAATTTAAGGTGATGCCATTTGGATTATGCAATGCACCGGCAACCTTTGAGCGTTTGATGGAACAGGTGCTGGCGGGACTGCTGGGCGAAACCTGCCTAGTTTACCTCGATGACATCATCATTGTTGGACGGGATTTTGACGATCATCTAAGGAAATTGGAAAAGGTACTCGATAAGCTGCGTGGAGCAAATTTAAAGTTGAGTCCAAAGAAATGCTCTTTCTTCAAGCGCGAAGTGAATTATCTAGGACATGTTATTTCTGAGAGAGGAATTGAGACTGATCCAGCCAAGACTGCCGCTGTTAAGGAATGGCCAACACCTAAAGACAAAACGCAAGTTCGGGCATTTCTTGGATTGTGCTCGTATTATCGGCGGTTTGTGAAAGGATTCTCGGACATTGCCAAGCCTTTGCATCGATTGACAGAGGAGAAACGTGCCTTTATCTGGGACGAGGATTGTGAGCAAGCCTTTCGAGAACTAAAAGAACGGCTTTGTAACACACCAATTCTCGGATACCCCAGCGCGAAAGGAATATTCGTAGTTGATACGGATGCCAGCAATATTGGAATAGGAGGTGTCCTTTCACAACGCGATGGTGAGCAGGAGAAGGTTATTGCTTACTTCAGCAAGTCACTATCCAAGCCGGAGAAGAATTATTGCGTGACCAGGAGGGAATTGCTGGCCGTAGTCAAAACGTATTTACTGGGACGGAAATTTTTGATCAGAACTGATCACGCTGCTTTGAAATGGCTGCTTCAGTTTAAGGATCCCGAAGGCCAAGTAGCCAGATGGTTGGAACAACTTCAGGAATTTGACTTTGAAATCGAACATCGCGGCGGAAGAATTCATGGCAACGCAGATGCATTATCGAGACGCCCATGCGTGGAAGATTGCAAGCATTGTGCCAAGAAGGAAACTGCTTTTCTTAAGGTGATAAGGACTGATACTGTTGACGAGGCATGGGGAGATGATGCGATGAAATTAGAACAGGAAAGAGATGCAGATATCAAACCAGTACTGGAGTGGCTACGAAGTGGTAACAAGCCAAGTTGGAGTGACGTCGCCCAATATAGCGCGGTAACGAAAGGTTTATGGGCACAGTGGAAAAGCCTTACGCTGCATAACGGACTTCTGTGCAGGAAATGGGAATCAACAAACGGCAAGGACGAGCATTTGCAATTGGTGGTGCCTCGTTCAAAAATAAGGGATGTATTAAAAGCGTTCCATGATGGATCTTCTGGAGGACATTTGGGAAATAGGAGGACTTTGGTGAAGATCAAGGAGAGGTTTTATTGGTTGCATTGCAAATATGACGTCGAAGATTGGTGCCGGAAATGCACTAGTTGTGCAGCTGTCAAGGGTCCACAAACAAGAAGCAGAGGGGCGATGAAAATCTACAATGTTGGTATGCCTTGGGAGAGAATAGCCTTAGACATCGCTGGACCATTTCCAATCACTGATTCGGGCAATCGCTACGTTTTAGTGGTTATGGATTATTTTACAAAATGGCCGGAGGTCTTTGCCATACCGAATCAAGAGGCAGTAACTGTAGCCACGAAGTTGGTAAACGAGGTATTCACCCGATTCGGAGTGCCCTTGGAGATGCACAGTGATCAAGGACGGAACTTTGAATCCCAAGTTTTCCAGGAAACTTGTAAACTTTTGGGAATCCATAAGACTCGAACGACCCCTTATCATCCACAGTCAGATGGAATGGTCGAACGCTTCAACCAAACATTGGAGCGACACTTAGCAAAGGTGGTTGACAGCCATCAGAGAGATTGGGACACTTACATACCTCTCTTCTTGCTTGCCTATCGGACTGCTGTACATGAAAGTACCGCAAAGACGCCTGCATTTGCAAATTTTGGAAGGGAATTGAGATTACCGGCAGATCTTGTATCGGGCTGTCCACCTGGTGACTCTCGCACCGAGTTTAGCGATTACATAAGCGAGTTAAGGGCAAAAATGTTGGACATTTATGAGCAGATCAGGGAGGCCGGTCTTCAAGCTAGTGATCGCGCAAAGACGCGCTATGATCGACGAGCCAATTCTGTTGGGTTTGAAGAGGGGTCATTGGTCTGGCTTCATAATCCAGTCAGAAGGAAGGGAAAATCTCCAAAGCTGCAACCGAGTTGGGAAGGTCCTTACGAGATAGTCACGAAGATCAATGACATTACTTACAGAATTCGGAAGTCTTCAAGGAGCCCTTTGAAAGTTGTCCATATAGA